CACAACCACCAATGTACCAAATATCAAGGGTGGATCTTGTTCCAGTACAGGGATTGGGTGAACCAGGACATGTTCCTTTGGTTTGCTTTAAATCAGTGTGTTCTTACATTGAAGGAAAACGAATGCAGAGAAGCATTTTGAACATAAACCAAGAGTTTGACACCATGTTTGATTTCACCCTTTAAATATTGTCAGGTTATTTACCAGTTTGGGTACCAACCAATCGTTTATTCTTTTACATAGTTACTCTAAAACTGTCATCAATGCATCCTAAGGTGAAGAAAACACTGTAAATAAGACATTTAAAACAACAAGTTTTCTTCAACATTAACACTAAAGCAGTAATATGTTTGTTTAAATGATTGAATTAAGATTTATTACAGCTCGCAACAATCCACTTTTGGATAATTTAGCCAAAAGGATTAACACTAAATCTTTACAAAACAAGCCACTGACTCCTACAGAGGGTAAAGTTAACCCTTTAATGTGTAATGAGGTCAGTGTTTATGTGTGAGCATGTCTGATGTCAGATCTGATGTTTGAATTCTAAAGACAAACATCCAAAAGTTCTCAGAGTTTCTAAATGTGTCTGACTTGTTTCATGTTTGTTGAAATATTCAGCAATAAAAGTGAAAGGCTTGATCAAGCTGAAACACATGGAGGTTATGATGCAGCCAGACGAGGAGGAATTTAAACATCTCCAAATGTACAAAGTAAAACGGCATATAAGGCGTATACATGATAAATGGGATAAGATATATAATAATGATAACATACAGTAAAGTTTATGAATAATATCAGAAACAGCTTGTCGATAATTCTCTCTGTAGATCAACATTTGACAACAGACTCAAAAAAGATTTTATATGATTAATCATCAATCTGCTTTACCTTTTTTTCTTTCCAAGCAAGTTTGGACAAAACAATTCTACATGATCTCACTCTGTACATTGAGCTTTATTTTACATGTAAGTCCATTTGGATTAAATCCTCTTTTTGGTGTGAGACCAGGCCGGGATGGCAAACCATTACAGTCAAAAAGGTGTAAAAAGAAATTAATTCACACAAAAATGTCATACTTTTTTTAAAATGTTGCAATTTTTTCTTTCTTTCTCCATAATTGTCTGTGTAATTTTTAAGAAGAAGACAACCTATTAAACTAAATATGACATTTAAAGATCCTTGCCCTCTTGCTTTTTTATTAGTGTGTCCTCACTCTCTGACGTGTGAGCTCTTCAAACAAAATCAATCATGTCGACTTTCAGCCCCTTGCTACATTCTGCCTCGTAACATCTGTATATTTTTTTTCCACAACAAGTGATAAAAGGATAAAATATATCTTTTTGAGTTTAAATAGGATTTTTTTTTTTCTGCTTCCGTCTCATGTTTCTAACTCTATGATCCCTCTGATTTCACTGCATTATATCATTCAACATGTTGAGAAAAAAAATGTCTCCCAATGGGAATCCTTTCATGGATCCCAGGTGGTCCCTCGTGAAGTGCACCACAGCCTGACACACACACACACACACACACACACACACACACACACACACACACACACACACACACACACACACACACACACACACACACACACACACACACACACACACACACACACACACACACACACACACACAGAGCTGCAACATCCACCTATGTGCACACTGCTGCCCCCTGGTGATTAAACACAGACACAACAGCAGGTGGAGGTCCGACCTGTGTGTCTGTGATGGAGTGTCTCCCCCTAGTGGACAAAGTGACTTGCTGTATGGAAACTGATTTTTTTTCAGCAGGAAAAAAGTTCCTTGAAATACTCAGACAGTGAATGTTTATTTTACTTTTACTGTCCCTGATTTAAAATGTTTTTTTTCCAGTGCCAAACCTGCACTTTACCGCCCCCTTTTTTCATTTACATATTAATTTTCTTGGACCTGGATTAACATATCTTCAAATGTGTATCACAAACAAAGTGTTTAAGGAAACCTTTTGCATTCAATAGTTTTTGTTTTTGTAAAAAAAATGTCTGGCAATCCAAATGGAAATAAAGCAGTCAGCTGTTACTGCAGTTAAAGACACATAGACAAATATTAAACTATGCAGTCACTAAATGTGTTGCTGCTGCTCTCTGTAAATGAGTTTTAAAATAATCTGTAATGAAAGGTTTATTATCAAAGTGTCAAAGTGTTTGTGTCAGGAGGTTATGTGGGGGAAAAAGTCAAATCTTTGTTAAAAAAGAAAGAAAAAAGACACAAATGCAAAAAAAAAATCCTTACCACGGTGTGATATTATATTTTAGGAATCAAATCCTGCATAGAGAGGCAACTTTTAAATCAGTGGAAAAAAAAGACTCCTAAGGAGAGAAAGAAGGAGATTGCACAAAACAGGAAACTTTCTCCACTCATGACCCTCGTTGTTGCCCTGCAGGAAGTTTCGCAGTGTTAAACTCCCTGACATCTAACACACACTACTGTAGTGTTGTGTCTTACATTTCTATCCTCCTTCTATCCTGAATTTTATCGTTTTATTAGGACAAAAGGATTCTGATTCCCCACCAATCCCAGTAAGAGGTTTTTAGAGTGTTCAAAGTGCATCCTGCTTTACATCCCCAACATCAAATGGATATTGGTAGGGCAATATCAATAATATAAATGCTGGTACTGCTCTTTAAAAAGGAACTTATCGTACGCTGTAATAATTGGCTTTACAGATCAGTTATATCTGACATTCATGGGAACAAATGTTGGCTTGGTTAAGATCTGAAAACCCCTCTGTGCTGTATGAGGTTCATCCAACTCCAGAGAAGTGATTTTTTTTTTTTGTTTATAAATCACTTTATAGTTCATGGTGGAGATGTAGCTTACTTCTCATTGCACTGTTTAACCTTTGACCCTTTGAAAAATGCTATACAACCATATCTGGGTCACAGTTATTTGACACAATAGATCATTTTAAAAAGAAGCATATGGGTTGACTTTGTATATTATGTGTTGCTCTGAAAGGGGACAAACAGTTAACATCAGAGTACCATCAGGGAGATTATGAAATCCTCTAAAAATAGTTTGTGTTCTGAGGCGGAACTGATCAGGTAGAGCACTCTCTCCTCAAGTCAATGAAGGCAGCTCATTTATTTATCTCCCTGTTTCATGAGCTTTTGTTTGGATGCATTCATAAGCTCCCTAACTGCCCTGAAATCACGTCTCGGTGGTTTATTAAAATCACCAATCAAAGGCGCGTTTGTTCCTCTCTGTTGTCCCCTTTGTTTCATGTGAGGTGGCTCCTCGTATGTCGCGAACAAGTCGGTATCCCGGTTGTAAACGTGTTAAACATCCACCTTCAGCCGGAGAACAGGGGATCAACATGGACTCAGAGTTTCAGTGCGACGCCTGCGTCCAGGAGAGGAAGATAAGCTGGAGGAACAGAAACGAGGAGTGGGGTTTGGGGGGGGGGCAGCTACAGCCGGGGATTATCCCAAAAACTTTGCCCCGGGGTTTGGCTCTCCTGTGCGCGGACCGGACCGGCGTCTGTTCACCGCGGCCCCGGGCGCTGACTGACAGGCTCCCTGAGGGGGGGTGGTGGTGGTGGTGGGGGGCCCAAACGCGACTCTGTGTGGAGATTACAGGGGTGGCAACGCGGCTGGTATCTCTCTGGGACACACACACACACACACACACACACACACACACACACACACACACACACACACACACACAGAAAGAGGTGAGATGATCTTGAAGAAGAAGCCCGCGGGCTGCAGCCGTGCCCATAAAGATTGACGCCTCAGCCTCACACAGCTACCCCCCCCTCAGAAACACACTCCCTGCACCTCGTGTGATGAGCCGATACAAGCCAACTTTGTTCAGCTGACAAAGAGGCAATTGTTTGCTGAAAGGTCATTCGCCCAGGGGTTGAAGCAGAGCAGCAAGAACAGCTCCAGAAGATAACAACTAGCCTTTTTCTTTCTCTTTTTTTAAAGTCATATCTGCTCTGTGAGGGCTTTTGATAAACCTGCTACTTCAAATCAACATGCTGGTCTGGAATTAAATGAAGCCTCCGGGGCACTTTGAGTGGGTTTATCAGGCAAACCCATTGGACTTCCCCTCAGTTTTAATCTACTTTGAACCACACATTTCATAAAAAAAATGTAAGTTCATGGGGGAATAAATGCACACAAATGGTTTGGATATAAGATAATTTTATTTACGCTTTGTAATTCTCTTATCATCTCTCTATATACAGCGTTATCTCAGTATATAAATCATCTCTGATGTATAATCTCTGATATTTGCAATACTTTTTTGGTACAGCAGTGGGTTCTACACAAACATCAATTCAAAGACAGACATCTTAAACACTTAGAATATTTTTTGACATAAATATCATATTTCTCGCACAACATTGTTCGTCATCTCCAAAGTACATCCTAAATCAGACACTTTGAGTTTATTTCCAGTTTTGTGCTGATGACTCGGATTACATTTATCGATGCTCTGGGTGGGAAACAGGTGAAGAAATTGAAGTTTTGGGAACATTACAATCAGAAACATGAGTTTGAAGCTCAAACCTGTCAGACAAAATCATGGGGAAGTCGTCTGTTTTTTTTTTTCTTTTCTGGGAGATTCTTAAAGGCTTTATATGTGATTTGTTTTTGATCCAGCAGATGTCGCCCTTGAGCACCAGCATGAAACCAAAACAACTGGCGCTGCTGCATTGTTGTGTTAGCATGCTAATGCTAGCGATCTTTATTATGCTGGTATCTTCACACTGCATGTAAATTTACCTGAAATGAGCGTGATCTAGAAACACAGTTAAGCAGTGAGTACAGTATGTTATTCTTCTTTTCTCTAGTCCCTCAATTAAACAACTTTTATACACGAGGGGAGGAGTCAGCCGGCCGTCCTGGCGATGTAAACAAACTGAAGATAGGACTCTGAAAACTCTGAAAACATCACAGACAGTGGGACTCGGGTGTTACACCCATTGTAGACAGTCATGACTCACAGAGTTATTTTCAGAGGATATACTTGAGTTATATTATATTTAAGTGAATAATCACATAGAAAGCCTTTAAACAATTAAAGAAAACAAAAATACAGTTTTCCTTCACTTTGCGTTTCAGTCCCTCCGTTTCCTCTCCTCTCTTCATGATTGGCTGACGGCAGCAGCGGGTGCGGCGTTAGCCACAGCGGAAGCGGCGCCCATACGCAGCAGTTCCTTCCTCTGCGTGAGGATGACGTCGAAGCTGGACTGCAGGCGGTTCTGCTGCTCCTGGATGCGGCTCTGGAGGGTGCGGACCCAGCGGATCAGGGCGAGGCGGCGGTACATGGTCAGCTGCACCTGGTGCTTCTCCATCTCCTGGGCCTTGAAGTGCTCGCGGTCTCGCAGTGTCCACACGGCGTCCATCAGCTCGGGCATCTCGCTGTCGGAGTCCGAGGAGCGGTTGTTCTCTCCGTCTTCCTCCGCGCCCTCCTCGATGAGATTCCCCAGGTTCCTTCCCGTCAGAGACTTGCGCGGGACACTTCTGCGTCTTCCGGGTGGCTCTCTGTTGCTGTTTCTGGCTTGGTTGATTTCCTGCTGGGTCGATTTCGGCTCCCCGACTCCGATGCGGTCCCAGCCTCCCATCAGCATCCCCTCGCCTGCGCCTGTGTCCATGTTGAGCGGGGACATGCTGCCGCCAGACCGGAAGCTGAACTCGGACTCGGAGTCGCTGTCGCCCCATTCGTCGCCGTCCTCCTCTTCTTGCTCCTTGCACATCCTCCTCTGCTGCTCCCTCTTCTCCCTCTGCTTCTCCTCGTTCTGACTCATCATCATCCTCTTCACTTCCTCTTCCATCCTGCCTTCCTCCGCCCCGTCGGGAGGAACCCTGCCGTACCCGTCATCCCCCGTCTCGATTTCGGGCAGGGGCTCCAGCGGGCTCCAGCAGGGCAGGCGGGAGCGCGGCGACAGAACGCCAGAACTGTGGTGATAGGACGGCGAGGAGCTCGGGGGATCGCGACCGAGCGGGCCTAGGTTGCGGGGACGCACCTGGTTGCGGTTCTCGTCTCCGCCTCTGTTGCCCGTGAGGACCTCGTCGTCGTCCTTGCCCGGCAGGAAGTTGAAGTTGCCGTCTTTGTCGCCTTTCCTGTTCCGCAGCGACGAAGAGGAGACATCCTTAGAGCCTCCCTTCCCTCCGTAGGCCGAGTTCAGAGGTTGGTCCTGATGGAGCATCACTGACCTCGACTGAGACTCACTGAAAAGACAAGAGACAGAATATCAGAGCCAAAACATGCTGTCAAACATATTCCAGCGCAGAAGCTGAAGTGACAAAAAGGAGTTCAGTTCAGTGTTTTTATCTGACTTCTGAGCAGCCACAAGTTCAGCTTCATGTCAGGACACTACAAAACAAGAAATGTTCCTCGTTTGAGTCTAAACAAGAACTTTAACCGCTTGTTTTTACCTTCTCTCTCTTGTTTCTATTCTTTTCTGTATCAAAGCTGAAATGGTAAATTACAGCAAAAAAGAGTCGCTAAGAATTGAAATCTCACAAAAAGTTATCAGTTGAAGTTTCAATATGGAGCAGGTGTAGATCCTCCCCTTTGTAATAAAGAGCAAAATGATTTTAACAGGCAGAAAACTTGAGCAGAAGCAGACTCATTGGAGGAAAGCAATCTGTCACGACTAACTTCAGGAGAGGGAGAGAGACAACGATTCCTACTCTTGGAACAAGTTTCTTACCTATCAGATTAAGATAATTCAATTAAGATCTTAATTGAATTATCTTTTTTCTCTTCGTAACCTTTTCTTTGGATTTGGATTTATTTTTATTTTATTTCATGTTGCATGTATTCTTGTGTGTTTAAACGATTATATCTAAAAATGTGCCAGGATGAACAAAATTTGTGATGAAATATGACAACTTGTAATGTAGTAAAAGAGCCTGCAATAAAGTAATAAAAGAAAAAAAAGTTTCTTACCTATCTTTAGAAAAGGTTTTAGTTTTTTTTGTATAACCTCAAAGTGTAATGTTTGTATCTAAGGTAGGTATCCAAAAGTTTGAAAATGCTACCAAGACAGCGATCGATATCTACGGTTTAAAGGGGAAAACAGGCCTTTTTTAAACCTCAAGTTGTTCTCCTCTAACTCACTTCTGTTCTCCTAACAACCGCTGTTTTCCTGTTATTAAACCCACCACTTCCAGACAGAACTGAGATAATCATTCCACGCTTTCAAGAATCTCAAGAGTAAAACATGCAAAGCTTTTAACAGCACGACGCACCAGAAGCAGAAGTGACTTTAGCAGCAGTTTTCCAGTTCCTGTAAAGTTGATTTTTTGAAGCAAGCACGAGTCAAAACATGAAGCTGCATGAAAGAGAAAAGAACAAGCAAGAAGCAGATTAAAAAAAATGATCTTAAAACTTTGGGAAATTAAATAAGAAATATGTGAGGAAAATTAAATTCAGAGGATAAAAGAGGTGGATTAAAAACAAAACGATAGAAGGAACAATCAAACACTAATGGATGAGTAAAAGAGGAAAATGAAATCTAGTTCAGCAGTCCATCCCACCCTAAACACACACACACACACACACACACCAAACTCCTTGTTTTCAGTGTCTAGAACTACAGGCTGGTCCCCACACTCCATTTCTATTAGCATCAAATATTTACATGTCTCCTCAGAATGGAAATTTCTCTAATCCTGACTTCAGGCTGCTGTCAATCAATCCCCCCTCTCCTCCTTTTCCTCTGCATGCGCGTTCACGTGGTGCTGAAGGACAGCGACCGACTGACTGTGACTGTGGCGGGAGCGCGCACTGATGCCTGACGATCACGAGGCGAAAACACAGATTATTCGTGTAAAAAAAAAAAAAAAAAAAAAGCGACATTTTAAACACAAAAAATAGAATCGTGTGTTTTCTACATAGCAACACATCTACAGTAAAGTAGAAAAAATAGCTGTAAACACGCGATGGGGGGAAAAAAAGAGAAAAAATAATACCAAAGCGGTCCTTCTGCAGGCTGGATGTTTCGCAGCTGTTCAAAAACACGTCTGTCTTTGCTCTGACGACGGCAGGAAACGTGAAAAATGCGACCAATGGCGTAAAATTGTTGCATTTTACTGCTAAAATAAACACAAGGTTAAAAAAAACACGACAGTCTGACGTCTTAATTCGTCCACAGCGAATCAGTGATGCGAGATAAAAAAAGACTCTTAACGCGATAAAAGAAATGCAATAAATCAGGTATATTTCATGTCTACGTTGGGCGTTATGTAACGCTCACCCCATATCAGTGCTGTCCTCTCTCTCTCTCTCTCTCCTCAGTAAAAAAAAAACAACCTCAGTCTCTTCCTTTCATCTCTTATTTGCCGATTGGGAAAGTCAAATGACTGACACGGAACCTGAATGTATTAACATGATGTTCTGGATTTTTCTTACCTTTCTGCTGGTTTTCAGTTCGCTGGAGAAGCTGGACGCTGCGCCCTCCCAATTTTTTCCCCCTCCTCCCCCTCCTCCTCCTCCGACGCCTCCTATGTGATGTTTATCTTCCTCCTCCCTTCCTCTCTCTCTCTGCCGCGGTGATTCTGAGAGGAAAAGGACAAATCAGAGCAGAAAGGAACCGGACTGAGTAATGGCTTCCTGAACTGGGCTGGGGTCTGCAGTGAAGAGGAAGCTGTGCAGAGTGAACACAAACAGTGTTGAGGACACAGAGTGCTGTGGTGGTGCAGGTTTGAATACATAAACATGGGATTATATAGAAATCACAAGCCTACAGACACATGATTGCACGGTGTTAGAGTAGAGCCTACACAGTGACATCCTGGGTCGGCCCCAGTGGCGATTCTAGAGTCTGTTGGGACCCCACGGGGGGGGGGGGGGGGGGGGTCCATCATGACCGTCACTTTCCCCACCCATACTCCTGTTTCTTTTTCCTCTCCCGTTGACGGATCATTCCTCTTCACATGGGGCCGCTTAAAGGAGGTTTCCCATCGTTGCAAAATTTGCACATTTTGAGCAATTGCTGTGGTTTAAAGTTTCCGAGCCCTCAAGGGGGGCCCCCTACTGGTCTTGGGCCCCTGTTGACAAGCAGCACCTCTGGTCAGCTCTATAGAAAGTAAACGTCTCGTAAAAACCTCCATGATACATATTGTCTTGGAGTGAAACTGAACTTTAACTCAGCATTAATAAATTGGTTTATTATTATTTAAAGTTGTTGTACAAAGCTATAGGGACATTTTAAATCTTTATAAATGTCGCCTACAACTTTTCTAAAGATTTTTACCGTCGCTTATTATGACATTTTTTCTGTTTGTATCAGGCGATAGCAACTGTAGTTTAGTTCATTAGAGTCAGCAACAGTGTAGAAAATAACATCAGTCTCAGAAGAGAAAAGATGCTTTGTGCCAGATTTAACTAACTAGCTCATTTCCATCTGTTGTCCCTGGGCAGATGATGGCAGAAGTAAAAATACAGATCCACCAGTCATCTACACACACACACACACACACACACACACATTTCATAAGAGAGAAGAAGAAAGAGCCAGAAAGACATTGTGTACATGTATGTGCCCCTGTAGCTGACTAAGTTGTCTTTTAGTTTGGCTGCAGTCTTCACTTTTTTTGTATCCAGGAGTTGAAGTTGTCGACAATCACAAAAAGAGACATTTGAATATTTTACTAAAAGTGAACATTTTCGTTAGTCTTTTTTTTTTTTACAATTCTTTATTTAAAGGATAGTTGAGAACAATTTACAGACAATTAGCCATGAAGTTACAGAAGGTATAAAGGGTCCACAGTGAAAGTCTGCAGCAAACAATAATAAGATAATCTTGAGACCCTTTTCCTTCTTAACATCCTCAATTTTATTTTTTTTTACAATATGTAGTTAGTCATTTTTAAACAAGGGGGTTTGTATGGGTCACATATGACTTTTGTTTGAATTGTATTTTAATGACGATTTAGGTAAGCCACACTATTTTATGTTTTGCATATTTCAGTTGTGTAACTTGGATAACCCAATGGCAGAATAACCTGCCTGCATAACAAACAGCCTCATACAGTGACTGTAGAGTTAAAGAACCCAGCCGGACACATTTTAAGAACGTGATCAATCACAGTTCTCGGGACAGATCTTTAAGTGGTCAATGTTAGAACTGAGGTTCTCACACTTTTCCTGTCATGCCCACAAACATTTTTCACACTTGAATTTTATATATTACTTTTTTAACCTGAGTGGCAACACTAAATCTTATTTCTGAAGGAATCAAAAAGATGTGCGGTAAACATCACATTTGAAGTAAATAACTAAAGCACTGAAATGCAAAGAAAGCTACAATCAGACCAAATAGTTGATTTTTTACAGATGAGCAGCTTTCTACGATGCAAATAGTCGATCATAGTTTGAGAATTTTGAGTGGCACCTTGGGTGGCCTATCAGATTGACACCCCCTTGTCATGTCTTAGTCCCTGGTGCCCATAGAGGTATAGTATTAAACGTGTTTTCACAGGAGAAGACAGAACACGTTATTGAGACTGAGTTCCTTAATGCACTTTTACTCCCACTCCCGGAGGGAAAAGTGGGGAACGACATGCAGGACCCGAACCCGGGGCCGCCTCCTGTCTCGAGGACTGCAGCCTCCCTACATGGGGCTCGACCCGTCAGGCCATCAGCGCACATTCAGACGTGTTCCGATGTCTCCTTTGTCCTTACTGCTTTTTCCATTTAATTGTGATGAGGCAGCCTCAAAATAAATTGCCATAAATAGCCAGTCATGTTTTGATTGTTTAAATGTTACATAAAGCAACATTTCATAAAATCAGAAACAAATGAAGTCTTTGAAGCTTTTAGTGAACTTTTGACTCAAACAGATGACAATCCTCACTTTCACTCACTTGTTATGAATACTCATCTGTTGGTCTTACGCCATGGCTGTTTTTTTTTCCCCCTCTTTCCAGGTTTTTCTTTGTGATTTCAACAAGCAGGGTCACGCCTGTCCTCTGGTGGTCGTTGAACGGCATCCTGGGAAATGGAGGACGTGACACGGTGACTTTTTAAGGTGAAATCCTGCAACGTTTTCTGGTGCTTTATCACAGCATCGATCGCTTCGTCGAAAAGTCTTATCACAACATGATGCATGGTGTCTACAATTACTGATGGTTTCAAAGTGTCAAAACTTTTACCCACAATGCAACAGTGACAGGCAACATATTTTTAGTCCTCTGCAAAGATGGAGGATTTGTTGCAGTGTGATATTTCTCCAGACTGGTGACTGGCTGCTTTTGTGATCGTCGATCCTCAGATCTAAGGGCACTGCAGTTGAATGTGTGTGTGTGTGTGTGGCACAGTGTGTGTGTGTGTGTGTGTTTTCTGGAGGTGTGTGTGTGTGTGTGTGTGTGGTAGCCTTTAGAGAGGCTACATCAGAAAGACTTAACAAGTGTTCACCGACTCTCTCCACCCTGCTCTCATCCCCCTGACATGTCGTCGCTGGCGGCAGAAAGAACCTCGCATCCTCCCTCCTTTTTTCTCCACACACACACACACACACACACACACACACACACACACACACAACACACACACACACCCCATCCCCTCTTTTCTCCTTCAACAACATCCCCATTCAAGTGCATCAGCTCCAGGCGTCCTTCCTCCCTCCCCTCCCCTCCCCTCGCTCCCTTTCCTCCCCATCGTTCACTAGTAGCCTAAGCACATAAAAAATACATCAAACACAGCCGTCCGCCCAAGGCCTCGTCACACGCAAAATCATCTCTCCCTCCATCTCTCTCTCTCTCTCTCTCTCTCTCTGTGCAAAAAAAAAAAATGTTACAAAAGACAACTACAGAGGACACTGATAGGAGAGATAGACTGAACTCAGGTCATCTGTATGTGAGGCCTCCTGAGAGGGGGGGGGGGGGAGTGGGGACAGATTATTGTAATGTTAACACTCACACGTTAAAAAAAAGGGAGCATGACTTACCTTGTGCATAATAAGACCTTGTTTGGATTGTGCACAGCCCTGCAGCAGCGTGACCCACTTCCCTTCAGTTCAGCTCCACATCTGCTCCAACCACCGGTCTCTGCTGTGACAGGGGCCGAGGGCAGACATCAGGGGGTTGGTTGGGGGCACCCTTGGGCCCACGCTGTCAGATCCTCCCAATGCTGAGACTGTAACAGAGAAAAAGAAAAAAAAAAGAAGCCTGCTGGACCTCAAGAAAAACAACAAAAAAAAAAAGTTAGCCAAATTAGCCAAGACGTGCTAAATTGGACCACTAATCCAGCACGGGAGGGCTGCTTTGCACACTAATTCCACACTTTTATTTAAAGGCGTAGATGTGAGCAGACACGCAAGTCATGACACACAAGCTTGCACACTCCCCTGGGTGCTACATGCTCATGTTTCTCTTCAATTATTCCACCCTTTGCCCTCTCTCTCTCTCTCCTCCACTTCCCCGCACATCTGAATAAAAACCAGATCCGTGTCTTGTCCTCTAGATATTTAGAAGCCGTGCCAAAACGTGTAACCGTCCTCCTCTTTCAAGTGAGGAGAGAATTGGGAGTTCAGAGGGGTGGGGGGGTTGGTGGGGGGGGGTTTAGTGTGCTGACCTCGTAAATTTCCTCTCAGGGGGGTTAAATAAAGTTGCAAAATTCAGTTTGTGGTGTTGATGCAAAGAAGGAAAAAAAAACAGAGGAATAAAGAGCAAATTTAAGCTGAATTACTCTCCAACTTGCAAAGATTTTATTCCTATTAAATTCCAATTAGAATTGATCTCTTGACCCTGAAAACAGACCCTCCGGACTCGGAGTCAAGTCTTTCTCTCCATTAATTGCGTCGTAATGGCTCAAAGATAATGATAGACGCAGCATAATAGGATTTCTTTGGCCTAAAGCCTCTTTGCTCTTAAGAATTCCCTCAAAAATCCAGAATCTTCAGACTTTAGGATGACATTTTTCAAACAGAAGGTGAAACTAATAACGGCTCTAACAGGGAGGATTAGGCTTGGTCTGCCTGCAGGTAGAGCTGCACGCGTTACGCAGGTCCCCCTCCACGGGGTTCATTCCAGACCCCTCCTGGCGTTGGCCCCTAATGACGTGTAATGGGGCCCTCCTGCGCTCCCGCTCCTAACCCCGGGACCTCCTCCTAATCACCGCGTGCTACTAATGAGATGGAGAGACATGAAAGGGCTCGTTAGACGACCCTCCATTTAACGCCGGCCTATTATTAGCCACTTAGCAAATCAT